GTTTTGTTTTAACCTTTAAAAAATTTGGAGAATTTTTTTTTTGAAAAAAGAGGCCATTGCCAAACTATTCATGTTGTTATATTAAACTTTCTAAAAATATTATTATTTAAATAGCTCCTGGAGTTTGATTTGTTATTAGGGTCAAAATTTATTTATTTTTTAACAATTTTTTCAAATAGTTCTTAATCTCACTTTTTTACAATACGTTATTAAATAGTTAATAATTCCTTTTAATTAACAATTCTTGGGCGGCATGCGATCATTTTCAAATGATGAGAAAAGGTGGGCAATGCTACGCCACAATTTTTAACTTTTTGTTGAATTTTTTTTTTTTTTTTGGGTAACCAATTTATAATATATATATTTTTTAAATTGCACTTTTAAGTTATACTTGACTAAGTGGATCAATTTTTTTATTTAAAAAAAAGCATAGAAATGACAAAAAAATAAACTATAGTAGCGTTTGATAGAGTTTTAGAATTATGATTTGAGAATATAATTTTATTTTAAGTTTGTGAGTTTTAGAATTATGATTTGAATGTGAAAAATTTGTTTGGTTATGAATTTTGAACAGAATTTTAAATTGAGTTTGAAATTTTTGATATAACATATGATATTTGATTCAAAAATTTATAACTCATAATCAAACACACAACCCAAAATTCTATTCAAAACTCATAAAAAATTGAAAAAATTTCCGAAAATATTTTTTTATTTAAAATATAAAAATAACATGTACCAAAAAAAAAATATTGTTTCGGTCAACTAGCCAGACATCCGGAAGGATGACCGGGTAGACGTGTTTGCAAAAGTGAGTATGGAATCAATTTTTAAAAACTATAACCAGACACAACACTCAAACCAATGGATGTAATTAAAGTTAGAAAGCTCTGTCAAACAGAGTTTTTCTAACTTTTTTTTTTATTTTTTTTTATATGTGTTTTTAGTAAACTTTGTTTAGATTTTAATTTTAATTTTTTTTTTACTTTTTAGATTTGTTTATACAAAACAGTCTTAAAAAGTAAATATTTTAACATAATTTTTAAAAAATACAACTCAAAATAAATTTAAAAAGGTTAGAAAAGGAATTTTGAAGTTGTATGCCAAATGCCCTCAGTTGAGCGATGGCCAAAAATTATTATTATTTTTTAAAAATATTTTATTTCTATGAAACATTTGTAAGGGAAAAATTAGTCTAAAGTCCCTCTCCCATTTTTAGTAATGAAAAAGATCCACAATATTATTTTTTGATATCTAAGGTCCCTCACATCTATCATAGAGAAATTTGATATATCTTACACGCTCTCTGTGTCTCTCTCCCGCTTCTCTCTACTCGCTCTCTCTCTACAAGTGAACAAGAACCATGACAGACTTTATTTCTCTCTCTCAAATCTGATCGATTAATCAGATGCAGAAGTTCTACGCCTTCGCCGATGTCACGATTGAGCTTCGATGAGTGGCTGAAAAGAAAGTGAAAAACAGAGAGGAAGGCAAGGATGTGAAGAAGAAGAATAGTGAAGAAGAGAAGAGTTGAAAAGTTTCATCACCGCTGAAGCTCGATCGCGATATTGGTTTTGTGCTTGAACACTAGTTTTAGCGAGTATAATTTGTTTTTGCTCATTGGGATTTATAGATTCTATAATTGTTTACTTGCAAAAGTTTGTATTTTGGTTTATCTTGTCAATAATTTAAGTACACTGACTGTGTTTTGACTGTATAGTGACCCAAATGTTATTCACTAGTTGGGCAAGGCTTCACTAATTTGTTTGCGTTCCATTGTCGTGGTTTTGTTGGATTGGACTTGTTTGTGCTATTACGCCTCGTTTCCTTTTGTATTTTTGCTTGATCCTTTGTTTAGATTCACATAATATCATTATCGCTATCTCTTTCTTATGAAGAGGAAGATACTGTCCATAAAAGGCCAATGAGGTATATGGAAGTGGAGTCTGAGCTTGTCGTCCTCCGGTATCGGAATCTCTCCGATGGTTACCAGATTTAGTTTGCAAATGGGGATTCAAAGTTCCTTTATACACAAATCAATAGTTGATGAGTTATTGGATTGAATTGGGAAATTCAATCAATCACTGCCAAAATCTTCATAACTCAGGCCTTCTGATATCGTGCCCAACCTCTTATTGTCTCCTGACAGGCTAGGACACAAATATCAGTCATCCTCTTTGTGATTTGATAGACAATGAACAATGCCAAAACCCTCACTTTGGTGTTATTCCCTGCTATGAGGATCCAAGAAGTGATTTGTATCTGCTGCTAGGAAGGGTGACTTGGAATAGCTCTCCAATATATCTGCATGGAAGGCAAAACAAAGCATGAAAAAAATAATACCAAGAACATTTTTGAGGTACATAAGTTCATTGACTCAAGTCATTTGCAATAAAACCAATAACCTGTTGGCAGAATGGTATCAAGTTGGCCTAAAGATACTTAAGTTCATAAAACAACGAGTTGAAGTAGTGGAAAAGGATTTAAAGGATTAGAGATTCTTTCCTGAAGAAGAAGAATAGGGCGAATGTGTATAAAAGTGCAGTGTAATGAATTAACTCCTATATCTACTCAATCTATTACACAGAACTTGGCTTGAACAATCTCTCATTAAAGAGAGAGAGAGAGAGAGAGAGAGCCAACCCATTTTCTCTGGAGAGAATTTCTGTCCAGAGAAATTTTCCGAGATTTTGGCCACTGTGTAAATTTTCTCTAAGAAATTCTCTGGGAGGTTCCAGAGAAATTCCCTCTGGACAAAATTTCTCTGGACAGAAAATTCTCTAGTCATATTTGCCACTTACCAAAGAGCTCTGGTGGTATGAAGTTTTTAAAAAATTACATAATTTAAAACACTTTTTGTCTATTGAATTGGTGGTTTGCTGTTGTTTTTTCTGGTTTTCTATGTACTAATGTCATGTATATTTTTATTTGCTATAGGCAAGGGTGAGTCCTAGTGTTGTGGTCTATGCTCAACTTTCAAATTTTGATGGGGTTTTGGAAAGGTTCCATGCCTTACATTGCTTGGAAATGTTTGGGGTGGCAAAATGGTTCTTCTACTGGTATGTATTAATGTGTCTCATGAAATTTCATATTGAATGTTCTGAGCTATGATATTATTGCAGAAAATGTGCCGGTGGAAGCATATGGAAGGCAAAGAAATTTGAAATTTCTCTGGAGAGGTAATTTTGTGGGAAGGCGGGCAAAGTCAGAGAAATTTTAAATTTCTCTAGAATGTTGAGTCTAGGAGGGCAGAGAAATTTACAGTGGAAACTTTAGGAAAGGTCAGAGAAATTGAAAATTTCTCTGGAAAGTCCAGAGAAATTATTCCCAGAATTTCTCTGGACCAATTTTCTCTGTGACGTAAATTTTCTCTGAATCAACTTGAGGGACCTTAGACATTATTAAAATATTGAATGCCCTTTATGTTATAAAATCTTAATACTAGGGACCTTATGTCATATTTTTTAATTTTCAAGTCCTTACAGCCTACAAGATTTAAAAAAAAAAACAAGTAGTCGATTTTTTCTTCAAACATTGTTTTTTAATAAAAATTTTAAGGGCCTAGTAGGATTGGAAAATGTTTTTTTTAAAGTAAATTTAAAAATTCATTAAAATCACAAAAATTCAATCTCAAAAAAAATAAATAAATAAATGTATCCATAAATCTCATATGGAGAAATATTGATTTATTTAGTATTAAGAGTTTTCTTATGAGCCAATTAGTCATTTTTATTTTTGAAAGTTATAGATTTGATTTGGTGTTATTTGAGTTTAAGTGAATATTCTTTGAGATTAATTTTTTCAATTTTTTGATTCATTTTTTGGATGAGAATGAAAAGGTGAGGTAGGGGGCATCAGTGGTTGGAGTATTGGTTGTCGAACATGAAAATCTATTTTTTGTTAATGTGATTTTCTAGTGTTACATTAAAATGTTATATTAGAGTGCTACGTTCAGAAAAAATACAGAGTTTTTATGTGTTACATTAATTGAAATTTTACGTTTGGAAAAAAATATATTAAAGAATTTTTTTGAAATGTTAAGTTGTTACATTTGAAAAAAGTTCATTAAAAAGTTTTTCAGTGTTATATTAAAATGTTATGTTTGAAAAAATACATTAAGAAATTTTTGTGTGTTATATTGATTGAAATGTTACGTTTGAAAAAAGTACATAAATGATTTTTTTTGAAAATGTTATGTTGTTACGTTTGAAAAAAATACACTAAGAATTTTTTTTATATGTTACATTGGAGTATTAGTGTTACACTTGAAAAAAAACTCATTAAAGAGTTTTTATATGTTACATTAATTAGAGTGTTACGTTTGAGAAAAATACAATAAAATTTTTTTAGTGTGTTATGATGGAGTGTTACATTTAGAAAAAAAATATACTAAGAATTTTTTTTAAAATATTACTGTGTGAGTGATTTTCCGACCACACTGCCCGCTTAGTAACCAGCTGGAGAGCACTGGCAGAATAGATGGCCCCTGTCTTACCTGTAACAGAAATATAAGAATCCCGCGGTGGTTTCGACCACCCAGGGGCACTCCGACGATCAAGTCAGTATATCTCTCAAAGATAAATCAAGTACTAAACTCACAAGCTTGAGTATCAAAAGCATACCTTAGACCCATGGGGGGTGCCTCTCTTTTATAGCCAATACAATCCTAGTCCCAAAAGGAGCCTGGCCCTAATGGACTTAGGATTACTGCTAATCTGGGACTCCCAGTGGGATTAGGATAAACTCTCTAAGAGTCTTATCTTTACCCAAACTGAAGTCTTCTCCCAATCTAGGACTCTTGTCCATATCCAAGTTGAGTGCCCTCTTTATTTTAGGACTCTTGTCCCTTATCCACTTATCTCGGATTCCGATATCTTCGGAGGTTTTGAATAGGATTTTATTTTTTTTATTTTTATAAAATAATAAAATAATTATAATTTAAATATAATAATTTTTATTCTAAGACTATTATTTTAGTCCAATTCACCCTACCCCAGGTGCCAAACGATTACTTTGGCAGTTTCATTGAATTACGAGAGAAGAGAAGAGGAACGCTGAGAGCACTTTTGGCAAAGCGATTTCATTGGTTTCACCCAAAAAAGTGACTATGCTTCCCCTTTTGCCACCTCCTCCTCCGTCATTCCACGGCTGTCTTCTTCTTCTTCACTCTCCCTTTCTCTCTCTCTACCCTAATTTCTCTCTCTAAATTACGCCCACTCACCTCTCTTCTCTGTTTCGGTGTTTCTGAGAGTCTTTAGGGTTCGATCAGAGGAAGGATCAAGATGGGAACTTCACAGCGACAGTTGAAAGTCATGCTTCGCAAGAACTGGCTCATCAAGATTCGTCATCCTTGCGTTACTTGTGCTGAGGTTCGTATTTTTACTTGATCATGATCTATATATGTATAAATATCATTTTTTTTTTTGAATTTTGCTTATTTGTCGTATAATTCTATTTTCTGATCGTTGTGTGAGGATATCATGTAAACTCGGGGACTAATTTGATTGAATTGGTATTTTTATTAGAAAAAAATTTATTTTACATTTCTCGTTTTTGATAGTTGACCTGACCATCAAGGAGTGGTGTGGTGGTGTTGTTTGGTTTGTATGATGGGTTTATTGATGACTTCTTTTTATTATTGTTTTTTGAGCTGTGAGTGAGCAGCCATTGTGAGTGCAGAGTTCTTTTGGTGAAGCTTTTTAATTCATTTTTCAATAAGGCACATGACATGGGCAAGCTTGAAATGTGGAAATTAAATTAAATATTAAGAATTACCCATTCAATTGTGAAATAACCCATGTTACCGTGAAGTTGAATGGCCTCTCTTTTGAGATGCTTTGCTACCAAATTGGTTTATTTGGTGCTGTTGCATTGTATATTCTCTGTATTGAATGCTAACAGTGCATTATATGTTGGCAGAAGGCATGTGATATCAACAAACTTGATATATGGAAATTAAATACATAAAAAAAAAAAAAAATTTACAAATTACCCGTCAATCATGAATAACCCATTTTACCATGAAGTTGAATGACCTTTTTCTTGAGATGCTCTGCTACCAAATTGGCCTATTTGGTGCTGTTGCATTGGATACTCTCTGTATAGAATGCTAACAGTGCATTTTATGTTGGCAGAAGGCACGTGACATCGACAAGCTTGAAATATGGAAGTTAAATGTGAAATAAATATTATGAATTACCCATGTAATCATGAAATTACTCATGTTACAATGAAGTTGAATTACCTCTTTTTTGAGATGCTCTGCTACCAAATTGGTGTATTTGGTGCTGTTGCATTGGATATTCTCTGTATAGAATGCTAACAGTGCATTTTATGTTGGCAGATTTTGCTTCCTACTGTTGTGATGTTGATGCTAATAGCTGTAAGGACTCAAGTTGATACACGAATCCATCCAGCCCAACCGTACGTCTTCTTTGACCTTAATGAAGTGTTTACACTATTTATAATTTTTCTCCAACTACTTAGGCAATAGGTTTCTATGAAGATGGAGGGAAGGAAAGAAAATGAATTTGTTAAGCAATAGGTTGCCTTTGGCTTGGCTGAGTGGAGGGTTTAATTGAAAAATATGCAAAAATAAACTTTTTATTTTATATTTTTTCTAGCATTTCCTATGCAACCAAATTAAGGTTTGGAGGTGATGGAAAAGGCAAATTGAGGACTGGGGTGAAGGAAAAGGAAAAAAAAGAGAGTAATGTGATATCAGCAATCAGTTACTACTAAAGGTTACACTGTTGTGGTGAGATTTAACTTGTTTACTAAAACATGCCTGTCACATGTAGCCACATTTTTGAATGTGAATGTGTTATTTCTACAAAAGACGTGCCACGAAGAACTTGGCCACTATGAACTTAAGACCTTCATGGTCTGATGCTGTTTGAAAGTTAGTTACTCTGAAAGTTTAAGGTGTTGGGGAACAGTTTAACTTTATTTAATTTAAAATGTAGATTTGCTTCTTTCATGGATACGTGGGAAGTGACTAAACTGGTTTTATTAAAATATTAAATTTGTGCACAGATACATTCGAAAAGAGATGTTTGTTGAAGTGGGAAAAGGTGATATATCCCCTACTTTCAATCAAGTTTTGGAATCATTGTTGGCTGAGGGCGAGTATTTAGCTTTTACACCGGATACAAATGAAACAAGCATGATGATCAATATATTGTCAATAAAATTCCCTCTACTGAAGGTTCGCACTTTATTTCTGTCTTTCATTTTCTTAAAATAATTTAGTGTGTTATTTAGTAAGACTTGTGTGTGAATGATCTCTACGATGTATATACTTTCTGATCAAAAGAAACTGTTTGTTTTTTTCCACTGTGATCACTCTAGTTTTCATTTTTGCAGCTGGTTAGTAGAGTTTACAAAGATGAATTAGAGTTTGAAACCTATATACGCTCAGACCTTTATGGTGTCTGCAATGAAGTCGAGTGAGACATTTCCTTCTCATTAATTTTTATTATAGCATTCTTTTTTTGGTATTGTGTTAAAAATATGATGTGCATAAACTTGACATGGAGCGATTGTGAGGAAATCATGTTTTCAATAGAGATGATGGTTTCATCATTTTAATTGCTTTTTAAATGCTGGTTTGAAATTCTTGACTCTTACTAGGCTTCCAACATGTAACTTAAGACAAGCAATGAATGCTAGAGGTTGTGACTAGGCGCAATGGCAAGTGCTATCCACCCCAATTTTTTGTGGTGCGGTTTATAGTTTTGGGAATCAGCCTTTCCACAAAAAAGTGAGGGGAAGGCTGCCTACTGATTACCTCTTCTAGACCCTGCTGTAAGCGGAAGTCTTGTGCACTGAGTATTACCTTTTATAAATTGCATGCTTGATTTTCGTATGGTTCGGAATGCTGTGTGATTACTATGTACAGCATGCAATTATTGTCTCTACAATATGCTTGTCATGTATGTTTTTATCTGTTTGAGCAACAAATTTTAAAATTATGCATGCCTGCATTTTGTATCTTCCCATAACCATAGAACTCACATCATTATTTCTGGGTCATTAGCATAGAAAGATGTTAAATTCTTTTTTCCTATTCCCTGATTGCTCTATTTGTATCTTCTGAATGCTTATCAGTGAACTCACATTATTGATTCTGCACCATCAGCACATAAGGATGTTAAAGTTTCTTTTTCTTGATGTATAGGAACTGTCCAAACCCCAAAATTAAAGGAGCAATCATTTTTCATGATCAAGGTCCCGAATTATTTGATTATAGCATCCGCCTCAACCACACATGGGCTTTCTCTGGATTTCCTGATGTTAAATCTATCATGGACATAGATGGTCCTTACCTCAATGACCTGGAATTGGGTGTTGATACTATATCAATTATGCAGTACGGCTTCAGTGGATTTTTGACCGTATGATCTCAATTTTCTCTTTTCACTATTTGCTTCCTTTTGAAATATTAATATTAATGGAAGAAGAAGAGGGGGGGGGGGGGCGTTTCTTCATGAATTAATGCTTTTTAGGTTTCACATGTATTGGCTGCTGTTTGCTTTCACTTTTTAAGTAACTCAGTTATGAGATTGTCATTTCTAAAAATTGACTTTCTTGTATTACTAATCTTTATATATAATTCACAATTATTTGATGGATATTAATCACTCACAGAAACCTTTTGTTCTTGTTTGCAAGGTCGTGAAAGACTTGGCAAGCTATCAATTATAGGAAACCATTTCAAAATGGTGTTACTTTTGTACTGAATAGAAAATTATACTGCCTGGAAGCTTTGAATCTTTATCTTTGATTACTCGACTTTCACAAATTGTACCTAGGAAGTTCTTTTGTTTCTTACTTCTGTGCATATTTATTACAAGGATTTTCCTTCTGTTACTTAGAATCATTATTATTATTCCTTGTTGCAGCTTCAACAAGTTATGGATTCTTTCATAATATATGCTTCCCAGAAAACTGCAACTGTGTTAGACACTGAGGACACTGGGTCATCTTCTTGGGATTCATTTGGCACACCTTCCCTGCTTGAGATACCATGGACACAATTCAGCCCTTCAAACATAAGGCTGGCTCCCTTTCCAACCCGTGAATATACTGATGATGAGTTTCAGTCCATCATTAAGAAAGTCATGGGAGTGCTGTAAGTATCTTGTTATATTCCTTCTGTTTTCTAGATTATATCTATCTAGAAGCCTGTCAAATATATATCCAGTGTCTCGCCTGATCAGCAGGTACCTATTTTGATTGACCTGGGATTTGAATGAGCAGGTACCTATTGGGATTTCTCTATCCAGTGTCTCGCCTGATCAGCTATTCTGTGTTTGAGAAGGTTCGGAAATGAGTATTATACATGAATAAATCATGGACTCATAATATACTTCAATAATTTTTGTAGATGATGTACTTTTTTGTGTTCAAGGTCTCAACATGGCGTAGTTGGTTGCCGAAACATCTGCACTGAACACATTTTTTGATTTTTAATCCTTCAGGAACAGAAGATAAAAGAAGGTCTCTACATGATGGGTCTAAAAGATGGGATATTCTATCTTTCTTGGTTTATCACTTATGCTTTGCAGGTATAAATTCTGCAGTTCGAATTGATTAGTACTATTGAATTCTGTTCTTTGTATGAGTCAAAGACTCTAAAATATTTGATATTTTGAATAATATATATATTTAAAAGTTTTAGGCTGTCTAGTAAACCCAAATTGGTTCGTGGAGGCAAGATTATACTATTTCTATTTTGGAGTTTAATTTATTTACTTGCAAAGAAGTAATGTCCTTGTCTAATTGTAAATACTCATTACCTTTGATTGACTAGGCTAGAAGAATTCTAACATCCCAATTTACTATGTTGGTTATGTTTTTTGTTTTTTGTTGATAAATTACTATGTTGGTTATGTAATAAGTTTGTACAGTGCTTAGAGTGGGCAAATTTACAATGGGATGAACAAAGTCTCTGTTGCAGGACAGCCCTGCGAGAATTTTTTTCCTTTTGATAACTGGGTGTATGGGCCAGCTTGCGTGCACCACGACTAATCATAGGCTTTGAAGTTAACAACTAGGCAAACCTCTATGGGTTTTTATTGTGGTTTCAAGCTGAAATGTAATGGGAAATTTAGGGCTTCTACACGTGTATGGAAAAATTAAGGTTAGGGCTTAATGTAATAAGAAGGAAGATTGATTATTGGGGCTGTTCTGGGTGTGTGAACAGTATCCGTGAACAGTGTTTTGGCCGTTCAAGTGCTGAAATTGTAAGAAAGGAAGAAAGGAGGAGAAGAAGAAGATAGTTATAGAATCACTTCTAGAATCCTGTAGGCATCACACCTAGGGTTTGATTACGTCACACAATCCGTAAGAAAGTTTCAAAACTCTTGAAATTCTCTAAAATATCAACTCTATTGAATTAGAAGCATTACATGACTTTATATAGATTTTAGGGACTTCCTTAACCAAGGATTCCAAAATAGGAAACTACTGAATTTGACTTCCAAAACACGCCTAAGACCAACTATGAAACATAAACAAAAACCAATTAAATAACTTGACCCACAAGACGACCCATCTGAAAGTGGTTAATGTATTTTTTGCATCCCTTTGTGCATGTTGTTTGCATATTGAGCATTCCTTTACATATGTTGTTTGGCATCAAAGTATTTTCATAAGGTTGTGATTTTTGTTTCATGCTTTAATTTTCTATGCAGTTTGCAATTTCTTCTGTGATCATCACCCTTTGCACAATTGGTACCCTTTTCGAGTACAGTGATAAGTCAGTGGTTTTCGTGTACTTTTTTCTATTTGGCCTCAGTGCAATAATGCTGTCATTTTTGATATCTACATTCTTCACTCGGGCCAAAACAGCAGTGGCAGTTGGTACCCTTTCTTTTCTTGGGGCCTTCTACCCTTACTACACTGTCAATGACCAGTCCAGCTCTATGTGAGTGTTTATGCCTTTTCAACTTTATGGTGAATCCATTACCCACCTTTCATCTTGTTTTCTGAGATGCAGGCTGCCTATTCTAAATTGTATGCTTGCAGGATATTAAAGGTCATTGCTTCTTTGCTTTCACCAACAGCCTTTGCTTTAGGGACAGTTAACTTTGCTGATTATGAACGCGCTCATGTTGGACTTCGCTGGAGCAACATATGGCAGGTATGCTATGTATAGAGGGATTGTGTTTCTGTGAAACTTATTTGTAGTGTACTAGTGTTTCTAAAATTGCAAGGCACTGATTCTGCAGCCATCATCTGGAGTGAATTTTTTGGTCTGTCTCCTGATGATGTTCCTTGACACGCTTTTGTACTGTGCAATTGGTCTTTACCTTGATAAGGTATATCTTCAAAACTTTGCTCTTTGAATTGTAGAATTTCTTTCATTTTTATGCTTTTTTAGGTGCATAACAAAAAGTCTACTTAGGCCTCGTTTGGGAACAGGCTAATTTACAGTTTATAAGTTTTGTAATTTAAATCGAATTCCTTGGTCAAATAGATGTTTGTAGAAATCTTATTGAGTTGCTAAATGGGAGCAGATGTTTTGTTTCTTCATATAGCACCTTTTGTCTGACAAAATTCTATGGTAGTTCACATTTTTCGAGTGACTACTTATGAGCTTCTGCTTTGGCATATTAATAGGCATTTGTAGTCTCCATCTTACTGAAATGCACTTCAGATTTCATTTGTTGGCCCTTAATGTTTAGTTTTCTATTTTGGCTGTACCTTGTCCATGACATTTTTAGAAAATTGCTCACTTAACTAGGTTCTTCCTAATGAAAGTGGAGTGCGTCACCCGTGGAATTTTATATTTCAAAAGTGCTTTAGGAGAAAGAAAAGTTCCATCAAATATTCTGCTTTCAGCTCTGATGTTTCCATTGGAAAGGCCAGTTTTTCTGAACGTGTTGTGGAAGCTATAAGCTTGGAAATGAAGCAACAAGAGCTTGATGGCAGGTAGGATGTCCTAAAATTTTTGTGTCAATATCTGTACATGTATTTTTTTTTTTTTTCTCTTTACATGTATTATTGCATTTGTAGATGTATCCAGATGAGGAATCTGCGCAAGGTGTATACCACTAAGAAGGGAACGTGTTGCGCTGTTAAGTCCTTACAGCTCACCTTATATGAAAATCAGATTCTTGCACTTCTAGGTAGGTTGTTCATTTTATCCCCTCGTTGCTTGAAAAAAAAACACATTTTTTGCTGTATTTAGTATTTGCATGTGTGTGTTTGCCTTTTGTTGTTGTAATCTTGACCTAATTTCCTAGTATCTAGATATTGGAGCGTACTCTTATTGCTGGTAATTGGTAATAGCCAAGTCTTCAATCGTTTAGTTGGTCCTTTAACATTTGTGATTTCTTTGAGATATAATTAGTTATGCATAGAATCAGTTGCATGACTCCATAAGTAATTAATAATGTTTGGGATTCTCTTGACAAAAAGAACTAAGTATTGTAAAAGAAGAATCTATGTAAATATGAGTTATCTCATCTAGTAGATAATATTTTACCATATTTGTTTTACTTGCATACCAAACCATTTCAGTAACCAAACCAGACTAGGTCTTGTGTCCCACTTGAGTGGGGTAGGCTACATTAATACTTTTTCTCCATTCTACTCTGTTAAGGGCTATATCCTCAGTTAAATTAAATAAGTTCATCTGTTTTTTAATCATTGCATCCCATTTCAGTTTAGGTATTCCCCTCCCCCTAACATTTCCATTTGTGGTGATCATATCAATCTTCTTTATCCGTTGCATCTATAGATCTTCATTGTACATAACCAAACTATCTTAGTCTATTATCTCTCAAATTATTCTCATTGGTGTTACTTGTACTATTTCATGCATAATATATTCATTTCTAATTCTATCTTTCCTAGTTTTACCACACATCCATCTAAGCATTCTCATCTCAACCACACTTATTTTATGAACATGTTGTTACTTAATTGCCCAACATTTTGTCTCATAAAACATTGCTTGCGTTATAGTTGTTCTATAAATTTTTCCTTTCAATTTTGTTGGTATTGGTCGATCACATAATATGTCGGATGCACTCCTCCACTTGAGCCAACCTACTTTAATTTTATGGATTACATAATCAGTAGAAACACAAATTTTATATGTTATTTTTTATTATTTTGGTTGAATTTGAAAATTCTTGAAGATATTCATTTGCTATTATGTCTGAGTTGCTATTGTTTCCAACTCAAAACACTTTGTTGTAAGTCAATTTGTAGCTAAAATAGTTAGTTTTCCAGCTCTGTTGTTTGTATAAGCTGACCAATGGCTATAAATAGTTGGTTAGGTGTAAGTCAATTTGTAGCTAAAATAGTTAGTTTTCCAGCTCTGTTGTTTGTATAAGCTGACCAATGGCTATAAATAGTTGGTTAGGTCTCTCTCTAATAATTAGTTTTTCTGGATCATTTTAGAGATTGTATATTCAGAGCCAAGTTCTTGTACCCCAGATTTGGGAAATTTTTCTCTAATACATTTCAATTCTAGATTTGGTCCATAACATTTTGTGCAAACTTGATACGAGTATAAATATTTAGTATTCCCTTGCAATCTTCTTAGAATTTTCACTTGTTTTGAGTTTAATCTTTTATCCACATTGAGTGTTGACACGAGGAAAAGAAAGTAGCAGGGTGGGGGGTGAGAGATGAATAAAGTTTGGTACTGAATTAAATTAACCACCCTAGGAGTTTTTAGTGATGAATGGCTTGCGGGTCAGGAGTTTCTATTGATGAATACTTGCAGGTGAAATTTTGTTAACTGTGTTCTTGTGCTCCTGACAACTCTCTGTCTTCCTTTGTTTGTAATCAAATTTATATACCCTACCACAATTGATTGACCTCATTTCTTTCTTCCCAGAAGAATAAATTTTGGATCTATTACTGTCCATATTGTGCAGTGCTATGCTTAATGTTTTAGAGAAATTAAGTGAGAGATTCAATAGTAGCTAGAACCTAGAACAAGGAATTTAATGGCATGTGATTTTTTTCTTCTTATTTGGTACGTATCTTTAGCATGTTATGTTCTTAATTCTTTAATCTTAATATCTCTAACTATTTTACTTTGTTCCATTTTGTTGTCATGAACTGATTTTAAGTATTATTCCTGAAGGACACAATGGAGCTGGTAAAAGCACGACAATTTCTATGCTTGTTGGCCTTCTTTCTCCTACTTCAGGGGATGCTTTGGTTTTGGGGAAGAATATTTTAACTGACATGGTAACTTTATCTTTCGAGAGATTTACATCATATAAGGCTTATATACTGTCTTCAGGTTTGCTTCATATAAGGCTTGGATATTGTCACTTACACATGAGTTTCTCCATAATATTTGCTTCTCTTCTCTTTTGGTTGATTTCTTTTTATTTTTGTCTGGTCCAATGAAAATGCTAGGGGTGTGTTTTAATCCTAAGGAAGAGTGATATGTTCATCATAAATGGAAATGTTAAGGGGAGAGTGGTGTTGACTTCCTCAGTGTAGTCCTAATTGCTATTTTGTTTAAACTTGAAAATGTTTTTGATGTATGCATAACCGATGTACATTTGTGTCCCCAAAGTGTCCAAAGCGCCCCCCACATCTAAATTTACCAAAAATATAAAATAAAAATTAGGTCATGTTTGGGCGTGTGTCTGGCACATGCTGGAAGTGTTCGAAGAGTGTCTGGAAGAGTGTCCAAATAAAAAAGTATCTGACACATGTCAGACGCGGACATGCTACCTTCTTTGAAGTGTTCGTGTTTCTTTGTGTTTAGGCATATTCAGTGGATTTAAACCCCCTATCTTTCCCTTGCTTTTCTGGTTGATACAAAATTTTTAATTCCTTGTAAGGAGTGAGGGTTTTGAGATTGCCTTTATGGATTGTGTCTATATCTGTGGTGTTGTTTCCATACTCATCAGCAATTGCACATCGTAACCTGTTTTTAGTTTGATGGTCAAATTGTATAATCATTGTTATCTTCATGGTTCTTTGTCAAATTTGTTGTTGATTTGGATTCTCTTCTAATTTTTATTAGTTTGTGAATTTTACAGGATGAGATACGGAAAGGATTGGGCGTGTGCCCTCAAAATGATATTCTTTTTTCTGAGTTAACGGTATGAAAGGAGGTTATTTTGGTTTATGTTTTTGTTTGATGTCATACTTAGTTTTAGTTTTATGGAAAGAAATTATTGCAAGAGTACAAGACTTATATTATATGAAAAAGTTTGAATATGCATTGCTTGTCCAGATTTGAGGTGTTACTCGGAGGGTTCCATCCTGTCATCTAATGATTCAGGGCGTTCTTTTTTCATTACTTGGTTTTGTATTTTATTAATTTGTATTCATGCATCATACTTTTGTTTAGCATCAATTTTTAATTTGCTAAAGCCTAAGTCAGTAACAAAGAATGGGGAAAAGAATGCATACAAACTTGTTAAGGTGTGATGGCAGAGAGCTAGAACTTTGATTATGTTATGCTGCGATCAACTGGATAAACTTTGAACTTTGAGCAGCCCCCAATGAGCTATGAAGAATAACTTTATTGGCCAAAGTCTTTTTGGGTCTTAGATGGGGCTTTGACACACTAATGAACCTGGCTTTGCTCAAAGTCCTTGTCTATTTTCTTATCATTTGCATGCTTTCTCTAGTTGAGTCTCAAATTTATGAACCCATGGATAAAAAACACAAAAGTGATTATGTAGTCATCTCCTGTTGATTTCGTTGGAAGGCTTTACAAGCAATATTCTGCAAGATGAAAAAGGATTTTTGTTTTTTTTTTGTGTTGTGTTCTGTGTTCTGTGTTTTTGCGATTATTTTATTTTATTTTGTTGGGTTGAAAATACTGCAAGGATCTTTGGTTAGAGGGTCCACCTGCCAAATCGGGGGAAGCAAATGAGTAAGTTTAATCCACATTTCAATTGACTTGCTCTGATAAATCTTAAAATTTAGAGTAAATTACACTAACATCCCCTGTGGTTTATGACAATTGTTGGGATGATGACCCCTTTGGATTTTGAGATAACATTGGCTTCTTATCAGAGTTGTTGGTGAACAGTTGTTAACAAAACATATATATTTTCTTCTTTTCTCTTGCTTATTTAGTGAATTTACTCATTGTATGATACACAAATCAGATCCTATCTCTCTCTCTTTCCCACTGTCACACACACACACACACACACCATACATCATTTATTTTCATGTTTTGATGTTTGGAATTTATTTTTAAATCAAATCATGAAGATGGATCATAACTTTGGATTTTTTTTTTATATATAAATATAACAAAGAATTTATGGTGAAAATAGATGGAATTTTTGACTATGCTGTTGTTCCAAAGTAGTGTAGTGGGTTGTTGAATGGAGTCTTAGTTGGGTGGTTGAAGAATGTTGGTAACAAGTTTGCACTTGGTAATCAGGAGGTGGGGGTGGGTTTAAGGATAGGATTTCCGGTTATCGGGCTTAGGATTTTCAATTATCTGGCTTAGAGAGAGAGGAATTTCAGCTTTGTCACAATGATCGTTGCATCATCACCATTGAGAGAGACCCAAGAATTAGGGTTTACTCTCATAAACACTTGTATTTACATTAAATTAAAATTTTTGATAGTATATAAATACCCCCCTAAACACGAAACACTTAACAAGTTCACTGATGATGTTTTATGAATTGATGAAGCTAACATGGAAGCAGTGATGATCAAAGGCGAAGGGATACCAGAAATGTAATCAGTTATGATTATCAAGGCTTAAGAAGCACATACACATCACACGACATCACATGGATACGTTGACACGAACATTTAAAAAAAATGTAGAATACGACACTTAGGGACACACATAATATATAGTTTTCTACATTTATTATATGTATAATGTATATATAATGGTGAATAATTATTACATGTCACATATGTGAATTTTTAATTCAAAGATGATAACAAAATGTAATGTAACACTAATTTCTTAAATCTGAAGGAGAAGAATAGGTATCGATTTCCATTGTTGTCATTTATCCTTGGATTTCAAGTTATTTTATTCAAATTTGTAATGTGTTTTATGTGTGTATAAGTGATAGACAAGTTTTTCAAGTTTCTTGTTGTTCAATCCATTACACTTTTAGAGAGCAAAGTTCAAAATCATTGAGTCAAATATGTTCACAATGATTCACTAATTGATTAGTCTGTTTATGAGTAATTTTAGAGTATTTGTATGGAAACGTATTTATTATCATAATCATACTCTGCCACCATCTAAATTTTGCAAAGGCAACAGAGCTATGATTCTCCAGTGATTAAAAGAGATAACCATATTAAAGTGTGGATAATAATGTCTTAACAACGATTATTAAGTGCTCACATTTGTTTAATAAACAGTCATCTTTTTTTGTTATGAATTTCCCTTGCTGATGTTCTTGTGACTTATGATATTATAATGCTGGTACTGTTGAGAGATGGAGAATTTATATGCACTCGTATCATTGCAAGTAGATGTCTGTAGTTCAAATATAGAGGAACTAGGGTCTTTGTTGAGTCTCTTATTTGTTCTTATTCTTCCTACTACTTTCTTTTCTTTTTTTCTATCCTTTGACCTCCAGCCTTATGAGTGCTGAAAATATCCTTTTTGGGGGGCATGTTTCTGGCTGTAGATTTTGTGATGTTGCCTAAACAAATTTGTTTTAATGATTATGTCTTCTCTTCCTTTATATTGGATGCTAAATACCTGTAGCAGGCTACAATGTCTCAACATGCTGTGCTGATTTACCACTGCACTTACTTTGACTTGTTTAATTACTCCATCAGGTGAAGGAGCATTTGGAAATATTTGCTAGTTTGAAGGGTGTGAAGGAAGACTCTCTGGAGAGTGTTGTGAATGAAATGATTGATGATGTGAGTTCTTGCTATTTATTGTCACTGGGCCTCTAGCATGCTTATGTTTTAAATTTTTTTAACCACAACTTGTTTATACATCTGGGAAGTACACATAAACAAGTTATGGTCGTCTTGTGCCTCTGCAAGTTATTAAGTGTAAAGTACTCTCCTGAATTGTAATGAATAAATTAATAAAGAGCAGTCTACAATGAGAAATGAAAAAAGAACAGTGATTTCCTTGTCCTCACTGCAAGTTTCATATCAAGGATAATAATGTGTAATGCTTGGGCATCCCTACATTGTGTCTCTGCAAGGGAAGTTGTTTCTAGTCAAAGAAGCCTTCTACTAGCTGTCATCAAGGTCACAATTGTTGTTGATAAGAAAATCTTGTGGTGAGTCACACTGAAACCTCCCCTCGCTGATATAAAAAAAAAAAAAAAAAATACTGAAACCTCCTCTCATGGACTATTTAGCAATGAGGACTCTTGTCTCCAGAGCTCTTGTTTTACTATCCAAAACCACTTCTACTAAATGATATATCTATGGGACTCTCCAGTTTGATGCCATTAGAACTCTGAAGTCTACCTGGCATTCTGGAAACAGAAAATAATATGGGCTGTTATTTCTGCAAGCGTGAAACACATTGGTCTGTTTTTCTAGCCAAATAAACTTTTTTGGCCAATTTAAAATGCTGAATTGATCTCGCAATTACTGGATCCCCAAACTAAGAGCTCTCAGGTTACCTGCTGAAGAGACCCAGATGTTTAATGACCAGTCACTACTGTAACTATCTGGGGCTCACCCTGGTTAACTTTTCTTTGATAACATTCCTCACTGATTGAAGGCTTTTAGTCATACCAGTTTCTATCTCTTACAAGCTTTTGAATAAGTCCAGAATGGGCCTATGTTTTCCTTTCCTGAATAGATAAACATGGCAAGAAATGGAGTCTGGCTACCTTGTGACTTGCTAGTGGGATCCTTGTGGTTTTTTATAAGATTTAGAGTTATTTCCAGAACTCATGGTCTTTGGTCCATTGATGATATTTGCTGTTCACTAGCAGTAGAGTCAGTGTCATATTTATTTATTTATGGTTTTTGTGATTGATTTCCTTTCAAATAACTGCTATATTTCTTATTTTCTGTTTCTATCTTCTTCTTCTTCTTTTTTTTTTAGGTAGTAGAATCAGTGTCATAAATATATATAATTTTTTTCTTCTTCTTCTTCATGTGCACCTTTTTAGATTATAATAATACTGATTTGACATATATATATTTTTTTTTGTTGTAAATTTTATGTCATTTCTGTTAATATTTTGTTTAGGTGGGATTGGCCGATAAAGTTAACACTGTTGTGAGGGCACTCTCTGGAGGCATGAAAAGAAAGTTGTCCCTTGGAATTGCACTAATTGGAGATAGTAAGGTGAACACAAATTTCAGGACATTGGTCATTTCTCTTTGTTTGGGATCTATAAAATAATTGTTTGCTTTTTTTTATAGGTTATTGTTCTCGATGAACCTACGAGCGGAATGGATCCATATTCAATGCGGTTGACATGGCAGTTGATCAAAAAAATCAAGAAGGGCAGGATAATATTGCTAACGACGCACTCTATGGATGAGGCTGATGTGTTAGGAGATCGGATAGCTATCATGGCTAATGGTTCTTTGAAATGCTGCGGAAGGTATTTTATGTCTAGATTCAACATGCTTTTTCACATGGGAAAACTGAACAATCTGCACCTGTTTTTTCTATGTATATTACGTATGGTCATCTAATCAAACATACTCAAGCATTGATCTCTTTGATGAATATTAATGGTATGTTCATTCACCATTTGAGAGCGAATGAATCATTAAGATTTATGTTGGGGATGCAGAATATCTGCAGTAGCAACTGCCTCCAAGGCTTCAACAAAATCAGATTCTAGGATAATTCGGTGAAAACCTTCCTGTCTTTCAATCCATAAAGGTCTCCAAATTGCAAAATTCAGCTACCAGTGTCATAGCCCAGCCTATTCTTATCTTGATACCCATGGACCACTCCCCTTCAGCGCTGTTGAACAAACCCCCAGCAGTTGCCAGCCTTTTAGGTTCCCATCCACATTTGCACCCAATTCCTTGGAGGGGGATACCATTTGACCCTAGTTGGTTTGACTTGTTGCACATGATGGACTTCCTATTATTTTTGTGTTTAGTAGCTCCACTCATTCCATTGTTCAATAATTTCTACAAAAATTTTAAGGTGTTTGGTATTTTGGTGGTTTTAAATTGTTTTTACTTGCAGTATTTTCAGGAAATATAATTACAAGTTGCACTTCCTTGAAATGTCTTGGGAAATTATAGAATTAGATGCTCACGGCTGAAGGGGCCAAACAGAGAGAGAGAGATTCCACTACGATCTACCATCACATTCATGTTCAATTTCATTTTTGTGCTTGCTATGGATAATTCAGAGACTTTGTTGGGAAGCATTGTGAAAACTAATATATATTGTTTGATTGTGCAATTATTGATCTTATTTTTTATTCCTATTTCATTGTTTACTGTGTTATTTAAAATAGTTCTGTCATTTAGCCATCCCAATATAGCAAGAGAAAAAGTTTACAGTTTTCCCATGAAAAAGTTTATTCTAGAAAACGTTGTACAATCTAAAACTTGCAAGGAAGCATACCCTTTCCTTCCTTCCCCTTCTATGAAAAAACCAATTTCATTTAAGTGTAGGATATTTGGTTTCTTTAGGAATTAAATCAATATGATCTAGTTTACTAAGTATGATATTTTTATTAAGTCAAGCAGATAATTAATCCTTGCATCATTTTCTCAACTGGGTGTTCCGTTTTCAACAGTTCACTTTTCTTGAAGCGTGAGTATGGGGTTGGCTATACTCTTACTTTGGTGAAGGTATGTTGTTCTATTCCATTTTTCATTAGTCTTGCTGAATAGGTTCTCTCTTCTTGATTGTAAAAGCACCAACATGCTTTGTTATTGCTATCTTTGCAATTCAGACTGCTCCTAGCACCTCTGTAGCTGCTGATATTGTTTACCGTCACATTCCATCGGCAACATGTGTGAGCGAAGTATTCATCTGATCTCATATCTCTAATGGTTATGTTAATGCATGAAAGGGTACTAACCAATTGTACAAATCATTAATAACTTTATGAACACCAGCAAATCCTTATTTTATCAGGCTGTAAACATGATGCCAAAAGTAAACTCAAAGGCGCTGTTTTGTTGCATTTTTGTTTTTTGTTTTTTCAGAAACAAAAACAATGAAGAGTTCGAAAACATCCAGCAGTTTTAAAAAATTTGAAAACAGCTTTTTGATGTTTCGTAAAAGGTGGGTTTTCAGGAAATTTTCTCTAAAACAGTTTTCGGAAACAGTTTGCCAAACGAGTGTGTTTCAGAAAATGAAAATGGAATACAGAAAACAAAAACACAACCAAACACACCCTATTATTTCAAGAGTCCAACTCCTACTAATGAAGTGGAATTATACATTCTATTCTCTGCAGTTATTTATACCCAACTATTTTTAATCCTTGCGCTATTATCTTCTTGTTTCATGGGATCGGATCTGCCTCAACAGGTTGGGACAGAGATTTCCTTCAAGCTTCCTCTAGCATCTTCATCTTCCTTTGAGAGCATGTTTAGGGAGATTGAAGGCTGCATGACAAGATCAGGTCCTAACTTAGAATCTGAAGGCAGTGAGCACAATCACTCTCTTGGCATTGAGAGTTATGGTATATCTGTGACAACTCTTGAAGAGGTATTCCTGAGAGTTGCAGGATGCGATTATAATGAAACTGAGTGTATTGATGAGAAGAAGACTCTTGCTTTACATGATTCTGTGGTTTCACCAGCCTGCCATAATTATGCTCCAAAAAATGTTGTACTCCCCAAACTATGCGGAAGTTATAAGGTCATTGGAGTCATATTTGCAACAATTGGCAGTGCTTGTAGTTTGTTTTTTGATGCTGTCCTGAGTTTCTTAAGGTTCTTAAGTATGCAATGCTGTTGCTGTTGCTTCTTAGTAAGGTCAACTTTTTGGCAACACTGTAAAGCATTATTTATAAAGAGAGCAATATCTGCTCGAAGAGATCGAAAAACAATTGTTTTCCAGTTATTGATCCCAGCTATCTTCTTGCTTTTTGGTCTTGTTCTTCTCAAACTTAAACCACATCCTGATCAGCAGTCTATAACATTCACAACCTCATATTTTAATCCTCTATTAAGTGGTGGAGGTGGTGGTGGTCCAATTCCTTTTGATCTATCCTGGCCTATCTCCAATAAGGTTTGTTGTTGACTCTTCATTTTTTCATCCAGCTTTTGTTCATATATACATCATTATTCTAAATGCATTTTGTGAATGGAAGTTGGTTTTATTATATTTTCATATTAAATTATTGGATTTTATTTCTAAGCAGGCATATTCTAAAGTTCTCCCACTGAAGTGCTATGAATCCTGCAGGTGGCGCAGTTTGTTAAAGGGGGTTGGATTCAAAAGTTAAAGCCGAGTACATATAGATTCCCTGAGTCAGAAAAGGCATTATCTGATGCTATTGAGGCAGCGGGGCCAACTTTAGGTCCTGTCCTACTTTCAATGAGCGAATATCTGATGTCTAGCTTTAACGAATCCTACCAGTCAAGGTGTGTTGTGACATACTTCTATATCCATTTCTTGCAGTTGGGTACTTTATATTATTATCTTGAAGGTTAATGCTCATGTGAAATCATCTTGTTCTATTTGAAAATGTGGTGTTGGTTTTTTTTTTTGGGGTTATTTTATACAATGAATCTATCCATTTCTTTCAGCATATTGTCAGCCTGCTTCTCTACCTTTTAGCAGCTTCAACTTGTAACTTTCTACATGAAATTGTTTCGTGATTCGTCTCTTGTTCTCTGGCAACTTTAATTTGTACCTGCCATATGCATATCATTTAATCTACATTATTGTCTAGTTTTCTATAAATATGGATGTGTCCTTGCAAATCTGATGTTGTGAGAAACTAGAAATGTTTTTTACTAGCAAATCTGATGTGTCTTTCTTCTAACATCATATAAAACTAGAATTTATCAACCAAAAAAAAAAAAAAAAAATTCATATAAAACTAGAGGATCCAAGTGTTTGAATTGGGCATGGGTGTCGGACACATTTCCCGCACCCTTACCCTTGTCATATCCGGTGGACATGGTTACACTAGGGGACGTAGAAGAGTCCATGTAACATAGCTTATGGATGAGTTTTCTTCTTTTTTTTTTTCAATTTGGTATGAATGATCATCATGCTGATGATATGGGTGATCAAATTGTGATCACATTTATATGATTCAACAATTTAGTTATGTATCTTAGTTCACTATGGTTACAAATTACGTTGAATGATAAAAAATAAAAAAATAAAAAAAAATTTACTTTGAATGATAAATGATTAGAAAATTAATTAGCAAAAGTAGTAATTTGACTTCATATTTGTGACTAACTGGAGAATATATTTTAGGTTCATATGTTGATTATTCCTTGGAATGTCAGCTCTTATTTTGTCCTTGGTAATGAAATGTTGTTGAAATTATTCAAAAGTATTGTGTTAATTCAGATGATAGGCCTTATTTGAGCTATTTTAAATTGACAACAGCAGGAAATACATTTAAAAAAAAGGGGGATGGAATGGCGAAGACAATGATAGTCTAAACCTTTAGTTCATCAAAGTAGTCCAAAAAATAGAAATGGCACATTTTTTAATCAAAATTTAAATTACAAAAGATGTTATGCAATCTTAAGCCAACTTTAAGTCTTGCTTTAGGTTCTGTTCTTAAGCTTTGTGCTGATCTAAAGCTACATCCCGAGTATGGAATGCTTTTCTAGATTTTTGTTTTAACCAGTAATTAAGCGGCTTTATTTCACTATTTAGCTTTTGAATATCTCAAATATTGTTCATTGAAATCAGAATTTCAATTGATTATTATGCATGCATGTAATATATTTTTTTTTCCGCCTACTTTGTTCAGTTTGATGTATCATGCATGCCCTTGTACAGGTACGGAGGAATTGTGATGGATAATCAAAATGACGATGGAAGTCTAGGATATACCGTGCTACACAACAGTTCTTGTCAGCATGCTGCTCCAACATATATAAACTTAATGAATTCAGCAATTCTTAGGCTTGCTACCCTTAATGAAAATATGACAATTCGAGCACGTAATCACCCTCTGCCCCAGACAAAAAGCCAGCACTTGCAACGACATGTATGTTTCTCTCATCTCAGACCCTCTTGGTGTGTTTTTTTAGTGGCATTATCAGACTTCTAAGAAGCACAGACATTGCCGTGGAAATTGGACACACTAACACGTAAATTTAAATTCGGACACTCTTGATTTTCACTGATTAAGCTTGTTACACATTTTTGATGTTCAAAAAGACCATATTTGTAAAGTTTAATTTGTAAAATTAGATCGGCAGTGATCGGTATGAACATGGTGCAATTGTGTATATGATAATTGTTGAGCTTCAAATTTCGAAATGTTTAATTTTTATTTAAAATTTTCTTGAAGTAAAAATTGTACACTCATATCAAATCCTACGTTCTTAGGATTTGGTATGCTACAATGTTTGTGATCTTGTATTGTCCATTCTTGTGTTCATGCCTCATTTTCTAATTATGTATTTAGCTCTTCGATGTGCACATAATCCAATCATAGAACGAGACACATCCTTCTCGTATATATTGGGTCCCACCCCATGTGAGAGGGTTGTGTCCAATTCTATGATCAGATTTTGTGCACTTCCACTTAGAATTATTTTTTATTTATTTTAGTTTTCCTTTTAGGAATAGAAAAGAAAATGCCAAGATAATTCAATCTTCTATTTTTATGGTATTTTTAAAAGGAGTTTGTATTTTTTGTTTATTTAGTTTCATCACCTTACGTATTGTCTTTCCCATGAATGACTTTTCAACCTGTGTAAAGAGTTGTGTAGCCTGGGCCTCTATTTTTGAGATTTTGTTGACAACACAAACTTGCTGGTGTCCTGGACAGCCAAAAATGGAGAGTAGGATTTATTTTGTTTCCTAGTTTTTAGCTAGGGATTACACATATTAGCTAAAATTGAACATTTGTTTAGTTATTTCTTTTGTTCTCTAGTTTTTAGTAAGGCATTACACATTAGCTAAAATTGAACATTTGGTTAATGCTGGTTCTTCCCTTTGTAGAATTTGTGTAATTTGCTCTGACTCTCTGTCATAATATACAATGTTAAACTCCCCATAGTGTTCATTTGTATTATCTCGTGAATTTGTAGGATTTGGATGCGTTTGCAGTTGTATTTGTTCTCAGCATTGCCTTCTCATTTATACCTGCATCGTTTGCAGTTTCTATTGTAAAGGTACACTCTTCAAGTTTCAATTCTACTAAAGATAAATAATTGAAAGCCTTTTTTATGAACTTCTTGTATTCTTTAACTGACCTGTTTGTAGTAAGCATTACTTAGAAAAATGGATGAAGTTGATCTACCCAATGATAATTGTTGGGGAATTCTGATTGCACTTGCCCTAACATTTGATTCAATTCCATATACTAGCACATGCTTCAAGAATAAAATTCAAAGATCAAAATACATGCTAGAATCACTCTCTTGAAACTAGAAACTAAAAAGCCTAGTTCATGCTTTTGAAACTTTGAAATCTGAAAACCTAGCATGTATTTCAAACTCTCTGCAATAACCTAAATGTAGGCAAGCATATTCATGGATATTAGTTGAAACCCTGCCTTTTGGAGACTAAAAACACGAGAGAAAGATGAGATGAGGAGTTACTCCAAGCCTTTTGGAGACTAAAAACACAAGAGAGAAAGATGAGATGAGGAGTTACTCCAATTTGGGAAGAAACCTCCAAGCTTCAAGTCAACCTTCAAGGTCTCTTCAATGACCTTCCCAAGCTTCCAAGGGTCAAATATTAAGTGCATGAGAGGTGGTCCAAGTGTATAGAGGTCAACCTTGCACTATCCAAGCAAAGAGGGAATAAAATCAACAAGGGGAGGGGGGTCCTAGAAATTCTTGGGTGTGGAAGAAAAAGGGGGAGGGAATGGCTGCTTTGTAGGACTTTAAGTGCAATGAAATGCAAGGTAAATGTCCCCCAATTTCAGATTTTGTTTGTGCCCCAACCTTTTGGTCAATCGTGTTTTACAAGTGGCATATTCTTAGAGGCCAAGGAAGGGGAATGAGAGGGACTTGTCTAGTCACCTTTATACATATATAAACCATATATAACACAAACTATATGGTTACTTTTGATACTATTTCAGAAGAGACGGTGTTGATGCCGGAGCATCCGTTTGCGGAAGAGGAGGTCTAGGGTGTGTTGAGGAGTATGCCCGGGGATAAAGCCCCTGGGCCGGATGGATTTTCCATGGCTTTCTTCCAACAGTGTTGGGGGGTGGTGAAGGCGGAAGTGATGGCCGTGTTTGATCAGTTTTATCAAGAGGGACAATTTAAGAAGAGTCTTAATGCCACTTTTATTGCTTTGATTCCCAAGAAAGGTGGGGCGGAGGGTATTAGAGAGTTTCGGCCAATCAGTCTTTTTGGTATTGTCTACAAATTATTGACTAAAGTTTTGGCAAATAGACTTCGGGGTGTCTTGGAGGGGGTGGTGTCAGTCTCAGAATGCGTTTGTGGGTGGTCGCCAAATTTTGGATGCTGTGCTTGTGGCTAATGAATGTGTGGACTCGTGGGTTCGGCAAGGGAAGGCGGGGATTATTTGCAAGCTGGATATTGAGAAGGCTTATGATAATGTGAATTGGAATTTTCTGTTGTATATGCTTCAAAGGATGGGCTTTGGGGAGCGATGAAGGCAGTGGATTCAGTTTTGTATTTCCACGGTGCGATTATCAGTTTTGGTTAATGGCACTCCGACAGGCTTTTTTCCTACATGGAGAGGATTACGGCAAGGGGATCCTTTGTCTCCTTCATTGTTTATTATGGTGATGGCGGCTTTGAGTCGTTTATTGTCCAAAGCGGTCCAGGGGGGTTTGTTATCAGGTTTTGAGGTGGGGAAGGGGCCTGCTCCTCTGGTGGTTTCTCATCTCTTTTATGCTGATGATGCGTTTATCTTTTGTGATGCGGATGCGGATCAGATTGGGCATTTACGATGTGTGTTGGCGGTGTCAGGGCTCTGAGTTAATTTGGCAAAGTCAGAATTGATTCTTATGAGAGAGGTGGTACGACTTCTGATGTTGGTAGCTATTTTGGGGTGTAAGGTGGCTCAGTTACCAGTTTCCTATTTGGGACTTCTTTTGGGGGCTACCTTTAAGGCGAAAAGGGTGTGAGATGGGTGGTAGATAGAGTGCAGCGAAGATGGGCGGGGTGGAAGCGGTAGTATTTGTCTAAGGGAGGGCGGCTAGCATTGATTAAGAGTGTCCTCTCTAGTATTCCGACATTCTTTATGTTGTTGCATGTGATTCCTGTGGTGGTTGCTAGGCGGTTGGAATAATTGCAACGAGATGTTTTGTGGGGTGGTGGAGGGGAGGGTTTTCATTATCATTTGATGGCTTGGGATATGATTTGTACTCCTAAGGAGAGGGGGGGTTTGGGTGTCAGGAGGTTGGTGGGTTTTAATCTGGCTCTTTTAGGGAAATGGTTGTGGCGTTTTCCTGTGGAGAGGGAGCGGTTATGGAGGAGGGTGGTGGTGGCGAAGTGTGGGGTGGACAGAGGGGGGTGGTGTTCGAAAGGGGGTGGTCCATTCTCATGGTCGTGGTTTGTGGAAGGGTATTTGTAGACTACCCGAACCCCACTCTGCGCGCAAGGGCGCAAATTATAGTTCTAGCTACTACAGTTCGGACTCCTGTCACGTTTCTGAATCTAATCTCACAAAGTGTAATATAAGACTGATAAATCACCAAAGAGCCCAAATCTGGCAAATCGTTTTAAAAAATCGATTTTAATCAAAAAGCGCCAAACATGGACTGCTTTGCCAGATTTCAGAGTCACCACCTAAATATTTTGTTTTGGAAAATTTAAGAAACCCTGACTCGTGCCTAAGGCCACGTGTCCATCATCACCAAAGTTTCCTCGGGTCAGGAACTTGGGTACGAGAGGGGAAGGTCCTGAAATGAGTACCCCCGCTCGCCCGATCAAAGATCGGCCTCTACTAACATGATATGTTGTTTTTGAAAACACATGTGTTCTTATGCCGGTTATTAGCTATATTACTATGTGATGCGCATAGCATACAAGTATAAACTAAATCACTCAATTTGGAACAAAACATCTCATGTTTGTTTTTCGAACATGGTTTGAAAGTGCTATTCGCAAGTAGGCTAAGACGCGGATTTGCCACCCTCAAGTGGGCTTAGAAAACAACATGATTTTGTCACTCCGCAAAGTGGGCTTAAAACGCACATTTTGATGAATTATTTCAATTCAAGCAATGAAGTCTTCATCCACAGGCATTCATGCAGTTAATTAATTAAGCAATTAACCTCATGGCAATCATGTTATCATGGCAGTCACTTACATACATGCAAGGATGCTAAAGCATAAACACTCACAGTGTACTCCGAGCCAAAACAAAAGTTAGTTAGTAATCATGCATGATCCTAGCTATGTTAAGATGCCTAATGCAACACATGCAAAATGCAACTAAAATAGGCTCGGCTATCTAAGATGGCATATGAATGCTACACTTGATACATGAATTCAAATAGGAATTGAAATACAATGCAGTTTGAATGATACGCCGAGCCCGGTGCATGCAAGACAAAATGAATGATGCACGCATGCAAGCATAAGTATACTAATTGAAATATGCCCTAATCTAACAACTGAAAGCGGATAAGTAAAAGGGAGAAAGACGTGCGGTTGGAAGACATTCACACACACGCACACGCACACTTATTACAACAATGTGCCCTCTCGACGGAGGGTTCGAATAATAAGCTAAGCTAAATCTAAGCTAAGCTAACAACTAATCTAATTATGCTAATTAGACTAATTATTACACAACATAAATTGAATAACTAGCTACAACTAATTACTAATAATTACAACACTTTAATTAATTAACAAATTAACTGATCATGGTAACTAACTAAGCATGTGAGGTATGTGAACTAGGCTGCCACAGCTCTGCCTTGAACAATGAAGGATGCATGCTCTCGATTGCCTCGCTCGGAAATCCATTACTATGCCCGGAATTGCCTCTGTTTGCATTTGATTTGTTCTTTGAAAAGTGCACAAACCTCCAGATTGCTTCTGCTCCAACATGGGGACCTCCTGGTGGGCTGCCGACCAGAAAAGGTGGCTGTAGACCACTTGTAGACCAGAAAAACTGGCTGTAGACCAGAAAATTTGGCTGTAGATCACTTGTAGACCAGAAAAACTGGCTGTAGACCAGAAAATTTGCCAAACTCCAGTTTTGCTGCAGCAGAGAACAACAAGTGGTATAACAGTGTATTTGCAAGATATGTGTGCACAACCACCCTCCCTATCATTTCTCAAGCTCAAGGAAGTGCGGTACTTGACTCTTGGACCGTTGTAGCAGACAATGTTGTGACAGTTTACGGAGTCTTGCTGGACCCTTGTAGAAACTAACCGGAATCAATGTCGGGACAGTTTACAGAGTCTTGTCGGACCCATTTCGATTTCTGTGGCCGATAGGGCCTTCAATTTAAATTCCAAAGTAGAAAGTCAAACAGATTTTCCTACGGTGAACAGATAGAAATTCGAAACCACATATATTCATATAAATGGTACTCAAAATCATATCAAACACATAATCATATTCATAATAAGGGCCAATTAGCATAATACGGAACATGGTTATCACAGTATTTGCAATGTATGTGTGCGAAACCACCCTCCTTATCATTTCTTATGCTCAAAGGAGTGTAGTGCTCGGCTCTCGAGCTACCAATCATGCATCTCAATGCATGATGGCCAAAGAGTCAAGTTTGCACAATTCAATGTCAATAAATGCACAAATAACACATAAGGGCCTTAACCTCTATCATGCATGATCAAGAGGGTCGGCGACAAAGAAATGAGGCACGTTTCATCACTTCAAGTATGAAACGTGCCACATTCCTTATGTTTGGATCAACACTCGATCCAAACACAATGCAACATATATAACATGATCAACCTATCAATGCTAATGGTATGCACAAGATTTCTATCACGTGAATAATGCATGCATGGTATGTTTGAAGGCTAAAGCATCAAAGCAAGTAAAGAGCATCATACAAGAGGCGTGCAATACAATACTCAATGGACTTAAACCAAATATGGACAGACCTAAGAGGCTCCAAAACAGTGGCCACAATGCTCCAAAATGCTAGCATTAAAAGCAAGAAAATGCATGCTCATGCATTGGCCCATGAACAAGGCATAAA